CACGGGGGACGCTGGCCCGGCGAGAGTGCACTGTTGTGTTTTATTATTGTTTTCCTCTAGCTTATGTACAGTATTGCACTTTGACAACGCAGCAGCGGCCCCACGCCCTCCACACACGCCTCTTACGGCAGTCCTTCCAATCAGAGTCATTTCTCCAGGGGGGATAAAAACAACCCAAAAAGCCAACTCGAGATTCAAACACTGCAAACGTTAGAAAGTTGCCTGCCGGGTGACACCAGAAATCCCAACTCCATCCGGCGGGTGGGGGCCGACGTGTCCAACACCAATCACTCAGGTCCCCATAACTTAGGAGATGAGGGGTCTTCGCCAGCCCCGCCCTCCCGGTCCGGACAAGGACGCTGGTTTTATTGCTGCCTTGGAGCAGGGGCGCTGAGGGAGACCAGGCCTCCAGCTCCGATGGGCAAGTCCGGGTTCCAATCCGCACGTAGCCGCAGCTCCTGCTCCGGGTGGAGGAAGTCTGCAGGGAGCGGGAGGAAACTTGGCAACTGCGAAACGGCATCTCCCGGAGAGAACAGCCCCTGGGTCTCCAGTGGAAGATGCCTAAGGTCTCCCAAAGGTGTGAAGCTAGCCGCATGCACGGGGTGAGGAAGGCCGACAGCCCAGGCCACCCAGCCTCCGGGCTCCTCCTGGCGCCAGGTCCCAGGGGCGCACAGACCCGCGCGGGGAGGGCAGGGTGGGGCGCCCAGCCAGGCCCGTTTTCTGTTCCGTTCTCCAAGCGTCCCTGCTGGGGGAGGGCTGGGAGGTGCCTGTGCGGTCCCGAGGCGCTCCCCCCCTGTATCCAGCCTGAGTCCCTGCCGCCCATGGGGGGCTGGGAGGGGCGCAGAGCCGGGCGGGCAGGGGCCGGGAGAGCCGAGCCCGGCGCGTGGCGGGTCAAAGGCCCAAGGCCTCCGCGTGCTTCCGGGCCTTGAGCCTCAGGTCGGCGATGCTGGAGTTCTTGCTGTTGCTTTTGGCGGCGGCGGCGACCACGGCGGCGGCAGAGGCGGGCGACGCGATGGGCAGCCCGAAGGGCGGCGGCGGGAACATCAGGTAGGGCGCGTGGGCCGCCAAGTGCGGGTGCAGGTGCGGGTGCGCGTGGGCCACGCCCTCCAACTGGAGCTGCGCTTGGACCTGCGGGGGCACAGCCAGAGCTCAGGGCCCGCAGGGGAGGGCCCTGCCCATGCCCAGGCCCCCAGGGCGCCTCCCCTTCCCTCCTGGGGGAACCACCGCCCCCAGATTCCTGGGGATGCCCAGCTGGACTCGGACTCCCAGTGTCCCAACGGGAATGTTTACGCAGACGGTCCCACCCGCTATCCTCAGACACCTGGTGGGAATCTCACCGGGCTCTGCCTGACCAGCAGGCCCTGGCCACGTCATTCTGGTCCGACCTAACAGCAGGCACCTGCAGAGTCCCTGCACAGTCCCCCGTGGGGACAAGAGGTCCCCCTCTCTGCAAGATGCAGGATGGGGCAGGGGCACCTGTGTCTCCACCTGAGGGGAGCCTGAGCCCAGGTGCCTGGGAGAGGACTGGGGGAGGGGAGTGACCCTCTCCCTCACCCCTCCCCAGTGGCGGGGACAGACACTGCTGATCCACTGGTTGTTATTTATATCCCCTAACCTCCAGCCTCCCTCGCCTGGGGACACCACCTGGGGACACCACCGCGAAATGCGGAGGATGTCCCACCCCTGTGCAAACACTCGTCCAAACCTGACCTGTGCCCTGGGCTCGAACCCGTGGCTCCCTGTGGCTCCCTGTGGCTCCCCAAGGCCCTGTGGCTGCCCCCCAAGGGAACCCCTGCTCTGCCTTCCGGCTTCCAATTTGCATTCATATCCCACCCACACCTCCAAGTTGAGGCCTAACCTGGTGAGCGGGGAGCAAACCTGGGCCTGCAGCTCTCCTCTGGGGGCCCCAGGCTCCCCGCCCGCAGGCTGCCCCCCTGCACTCAAGCTGTTCCAGGGAGCGCCCCTCAGGAACCCTGAGCTATCTCAAGACCCCCAAGGCGCTGCTGGGGAACCCACGGGCCAAGCCCGCCCAACTCTGCAGGGAGCTGGGCCACCCCAAGGTCCAGGCGCCAGGCAGGGTTGTCTGCACTCAGTCCCTCCCGGGAGCAAACGGGGTGGGTGTCCACACACACACACACACATTCCCAGCCAAGCTCTGGGCCCCAACTGGGTGGGTGGGATTTTTTTTTCCCCTCTCGGATTTTTGTAAAACGGTGTTTTGGTTTGTGTTTCTACTTTAGCTAAGGTGACTGCTGGCGTTTTACGGCGTGACTTTAATAAGTGCCAACGCGGCTATAAAAGCCCCCTTGTAAAAGCGGCGGGGTTTCTTCTGAGAGCCAGGGCTCAGGTCCACCCGGCAGGGGAGCGCGGAGCAGGGAGGGAAGAGGTGGGAGGGGAGGGAGGGGAGAGGGAGCGAGGCCCGCGCGCCTCAGAGGAAGGAAAAGCAGCTACCTGTTGGAAAGGCATCCGCAGGGCGCCCATGTTCACGTAGGGCGCCACCCGGCAGGCGTCCAGGTGACTGGCGGTGCCCAGAATGACGCCTGCAAACGGGACGGGAAGGTGAGCGCGGCCGCCCCGGCCCTCCCGCCTGGGCCAGCACCCCCGCGCCCCCCGTTACGAACCTTTGTGCATCTGATTCTCCTGTTTCCGGCACTTGGCCCTCCGGTTCTGAAACCAAACCTGGAGACGAAACAGAGACGCACGGCCTGGTGAGCCGCCCGGCCCGGGCGAAAGGAGGCCGCCCTTCCTTCTCCGGACGCAGGACGGCGCGCTGCGCTGCGCTCGCTGCCGCGCGGCCCAGAGACGCCGGGCCTTCCCGCCCTGCAGCTGCAGCCCTGCCCGCGCCAGAACGGGCTCCCGGGCTGGGGACTGTCAAACTCACTTCTGCCACACCCTGTCCAGCTAAGCTGCACCTGAGTTTTGACAGGGACAGGCCAAAGCGAAGAAGTAGGCGCTGGGACGCTGGACTCTCCCTGGTCTGGACTGGCACCCAGCACCCCCATGCACACATGCCTGACCACCCCAAAGCCGAACCTGTCTTTCCCCATTCAGACCCGGCCACCCCTCCTCCCACTCCCCGAGCTCTGGCCACTCCCAGAGGCCAGCAGTCACCCACCGCCTCTGCACCCCTCCTGGGAGCCCAAGGAGCCCAGACGGCCCTCTGGTTAATCCTGCCTGAGTCGGGGAGGTCCCCGGGGACCCCGAAAGTCAGGACACAGGCTTTGCAACTGTGGGCGCTGGCCCCGAGGACTGGGTCCTGGGACCTCCACCGGACTGGGTTCACGAATCTGAGAGCAAGACTTGGGTGCCCCGACCCCCTCCACCTGGCCTCCTACAAGCCCCCTCCTGGCTCTCCACATTTACGGGCCCCTTCCCAAACAGCCACTGGCCTTCCACGGGGCAGTTACTTTGTCACTGACCAGAGGCCTCCACCCACCCCACACTCCTCTGTCAAACGGCACGGCTTAATTCTTCCTAACTGGCTTTCTGGGCACTCTGCCCCCCACTCGCCTACCCCCTAAGCCATCGCCCAGGAGGGACGGTTTGCACAGACAAGGGCTCCCAGCTGAGTTTCCCGGGTAGCCCAGAGCGCTAGGAAATCTACCACGGTTCCTGCCAACGCCCTTCGATCACTGCTTGGGAACCTCAGAGACCTACCAGGGGCTGGGAGCACCCGGGGAGGTGACGTTTCGGGTCCCCCAGGTCTTACAGCCAGCCTTCTTCCTGGGAGGAAAATCTGCAAGTGAGTCCCCCCCCCCAGAACAGTTTTCCAGAACGTTCCAAAGCCCCTTCGTCCAGGCTGCAGAGAGCCTGCAAAACTTTTATGTGTTCCCTGGCAAAGTCATTTCCAAAAAAAAAAAAAAAAAAAAAAGAAGAAGAAGACGAATAAGAAAGAAAAAGAAAAAGGAAAGGAATCCCTCACTCTCCTAGACTTGAGCTGAAAGGCAGGACCGGTCCCTGTTTCCAAAGCCGGCTGGCTCTCCACTCCCTCGCCACCCCACCCGCTGCCTGGCCAGGCCCAGGACCGGATCCCTCCTGGGGTCCTCTGGCCTTCCTGGGTCCCGCTATCCAGGCCTCCAAAAAGCGTGTTAAAACATGCTGTCCTGCACACACATCGTCCCTGAAAGGGCATTTTTCAAAAACCAGAATCCTATTGCAATCTGCAGAACAAGGCTCGCTTTCCCTTCAGCGAAGGGGGGAAAAATAAGATTATGAAGAATAAAAGTAATGAATTAGCCGGAGCGATGCGCGCTCATAAATCAGTCTTGCGGTGATTGCCGATCAATTCCAATTAGGCGTGAATATGCTAAGTAAAGCCGGGACAGTGGGTTAGACAGTTACTTCTTCATTAAGGAGCAACTCACTGATTTCTCTCACAAACGCCGTAATCTGATTTCATTTTGATTTCCATTACAGACAGTGAATAATGACATTTAATTTAGCCCTGCGCCATAAACCCAGAGATATTTCTTGTAATTTAATTACCGCCTGCCCCTCACCGCGGTCTCATAACTTTCGATTAGAACCCTGACAGCTGGGTGATATGAGTTTCTAGTACAACACTAAAAATAAAAGGTTAATAAGGACCAGGTTCCATACGATGCTCAATTTATTTACGGCAAATTTCCACACCAAATTGAAACTCGATCCTCTAACGGACGCGGGACAGGCTGTACCGAAAAGGATTACCCGGCCGTGCCGGGAGGAGATGAAAATATAGTTCACCGCTGTCCCCCTGTCCTGGCCCCCGCCAGCCCCCCACGATGACCACAGCCGTCCACGGATTGACTCGCTGATTTTGTACGGGCTCTTTCTGCCTTTCTCTTTATTACGTCCTGACTCCTTCCCCGCTGGCCGGCAGAAAACGAAGCCTTTCCTTCAAGTCCCCTGTTTGTGTTTATGATTATTTACCGTCGTTAAATTTTAATTTGCCGCCGCATCGAAAGCCCCTCCCTTCCCGCGCCCCCTTCCCCTGTCTTTTAGGGTGGTCTCGGGATCCGGGAGCGTCCAGGAAGCAATTGTCTGGGACTCGCTCGGTCCTGCAAAGGTGCAGTAATAGACTGTAGTGAAAGAAATAGTGGGGAATTCAATTACAAGTAATTTATTTTTATAGAAGCAGTACATCAAGCCCTGGGAGATATTACAGATCCCAGGCAGGAGGACCCTGCGAGGTGGCATAAAAGTTCATATCCCCTTCAGCAGAAGTTTAATCTTTTCATTAATTTAGGCGGGACAGCCCCATCCGTCTTGGTCCAGAAGGGTGGCTGCAGGGACAGCCCTTGTCCCGCCCAGCCCCTTCCCGGGCTCAGCCACAGATGACCAGACTGAGCAGCGGGGAGAGGGTCCTCCCAGCCACCGAGGTGCAGAGAGAGAAGACAGGACTTCTGGGGAGGGGTATTTACTGACTCTAAAAGAAGCCTTTAACCATCGAGCCGGCAAACCTGGAAGGGGAATTGGAACCCAGATACATATATATGTGTTTAATGACAGATTCTGTAAAAACACCAACTGTCCCAAGGCCTCCCATTTCCGTTTGGTAAATGAAGTCTGGGGTGGGGGACGAGGTGCATTTGTTGACTGAATGGCCCTCGGGCCTTCTCCCAAAGCTTTCTCCCTCGGGCCCTCCCTGGCTGGCAGTCTTAATTCTGTTTATTTAGAATGGGTCCCCAGGGTCCCGCGGGTCTGACCCACTGTCCCTGGCCCTCCTGTCCATCTCGGAATGCTCATAAAAGAGGGAGCTCTCAGGGTCCAGCTCCCCAGAGGGGTCTGCAGCACCGGGGGAGGGACGTGGCAGCGAATTCTCGCTCGCTCGCTCGTCCTCGCACACACGCCAGCACCAGGTCGATAAATTAATAAATGTAACTCAGCGTTTACCATGCCAGGGAGACCTCTGCGCACGTGCAGCGCGCCCCGGCTCGCCAGATGGAGGTGGCGCAGTCGCGCCCTAGCCCAGAACGCAGAGGGGGACGGTCCCCGCGCCACGCGCCCGCTAATCCGGCCCCGCGCGGGCAGGAGCCCCGCTCATCAAAATGCCCAGCGCGTCCACCCCCTGGCCGCCCGCCCCGCGGCTCCGCGCTCCCTCCTCTCGGCTCCTGGGACTTGCAGGGGGGCTGGAGGGAGGGAGATTGACGTTCCTGACAGCCTAAGCGGGGACGGCCGACCCTGTCGGTCAGGGGACATGGCGACCCGCGCGTCCGGGCGCCCCGCGCCGATGGAG